GGTAACATGTATTCAACTTGGAATTGAAATACGATGCAGTTAGTATGATGCGCCGAGCCCGGTGCATGCAAAACAGATGAGTGGATGCAAACATGTGTGATCCCCGCCCCCGCCCCGCCCCGCCCCGTTGCCATTCCTAACAATACGTCTTATTTTTTTATATTTTTAAATATTATTTTATTATTTTTATTCAATTAAACTTATTTTCAAGAGATTGATCAACAAATCTCATATCTTGGACTTGTGATCCTTATAGTTTCATATTTTTTTTGTGATCTATTTAGTCATTTTAGATATATAATGACTCGTTTGATATTATACTGTCCTTAATTGTTGTTGTTTGTTGGAATGTTATATTACAATGTTACATTTAAAAAAAATAGTAACAATTTTTGTTTTTTGGAATGTTAGAGCATCCCCATTGAATCTCCTAAATCCATCTCTTACCTATTTTTAGGAGTCTTTCTTTATAAAATCAACCCCATCAGCTCCCCTAAAATAACTCCCTATATAAGGAATACTACAATTGCCCCCCAAATGTAAGGGCCATTTCCCAAAATAAGCCCAACTACTAACCAATTTTCCAAACGGAGCTTAGTTTGGCCGATATTCCCAAAATAAGCTGTTTATCAGTGTTGGCCCATCTATCAATTGCTAATCTTTTAGTCATTGTTCATGGTTGGTTTAGTGTATTTCTACTGGGCTGTGGCTCACCCTATATGGGAATATCATTTTCAGGTACAGGTAGCATGCCACCTCCAAGGACATAGCTTGGGAGGCTAGAGGCAGACAGACTTTTGTCGTTTTTTTATCTTTTGGATGTATTACATGTAAATTCAAGCCAAGGGCTTAATGTGTATTTGAGATAGTACTCTTTTTTTTAACCAAGTGTTAACTTGGAAAGCTGTAAGCCTGTAGGGCATTTGCTTTTGTTGTTAACATGTAATACTTTTTGTAATGAAACTCTGATAAATGAAAGAATGTGGAACTTTTGAATATCAATGCATGTCTTATTTGTTGGGTTTAATGTTATTATTTTGAGGGCGTTACAGTTAGTCGGTAATTTTGTAGTGCTTTTGGCGACTAAATGTTCTTTGGTCGCCAATACCTTCGGCGACGATGTATCCCCGACGAACCCAGCGACCAAAATCTTTGGTCGGTAAAGTCTTTTGGCGACTAAAATCAGTACTTTTGGCGACTAATATTTTAGTTGCCAAAAGTGTATTTTCTTGTGGTGCCCATCGTCCACTAGCGGGGGTTCAATTACAATCACAGCAAAACTCTGTATGGACTAGCCAACAGAGGAATTGATAAGAGATTTCGAATATGAAACCTAGAGAGGAGCAAACTCCTAAATCCTAAGTCTACATTATTAGGCCAACTCCTAGGAATTTAAATTAGGGTCTTTCTAAGAAATAATAATATAGAGCAACTATATTTATTTATTTATGATATTTATTATTATATTGATACGATAAGACCTATTAAATCTATGTCACTATAATGTGATAACAATAATGTTCCTTTTATATAAACAAAATATATAAATGTGCAAAGAAAACTTAAGATGTAATCCAAATTTATGTTAGGTGTGATGGATATTACACCCAAATTAAATTTGAATCACATAATTTTTTTTGAATGAATGTTTATGTGTGTACACAATGAAACTTAGGATCACTATCATGGTGGCTAGTTTTCTTGCATTGACCACAACTACAATTGAGAAGACTCCAATTACAATTTCAGACGTGTTTGTGGGTCCAAAAATAGATTTGAGAACGTTAGGTTAACATTGCTTTCATGAATGTTTTTATTTGTATGAGGATCTTAATAAAATTTATTTTTTTTCTCTCTCTATTAATCCTTTATTTTAGAATAAACAATCTATGTTGAAAATACAAAACGAACGGAGCGTAAAAATGAGTCTTTAGTTAAATTGGGACTAGTGCTCTAAGGCCCCGTTTGTTTTCAGAGGTAGAATGGAGGAGATTGATAGTGATGAGATTAATAGTGAGAGAATTGCTAGTGAGGGGATTGATAGTGAGGGGATTAAGTAAAATTGTATATGTTTTGATAATAGTTGTTAGTGTAGGGATTGTTAAATTATTTTTATATAAAATAATAAAATAAATAAAAAAAACATTAAACATTAATGTTTTAAAAAAAATGCACAGCATATAAAAAATTTAAAAATAAATAAAAATAAAATAAAAAATTTCCAAAACAAAATAAAATAAATAAAATAATGATTTTTACTTAACAAAAAATAAAAAAAATTAAATATTAATGTTAAAAAACAAATGCCCGACATGTAAAAAATAAAATAAAAAATAAATAAAAATAAAAAATTTCTAGTCCGTTAAACTATTTTTCTAATACCAAGTCCTGACGGCCCATCTGAATCTCTTTGGGCAGGCCCATCCTAATCCGAAACTCACTATCAATCCCCTTCTCATCTCTTAAAACAAACACAATATTAGTGAGTCCCACCTCACTACTAATCTTAATCCCCCTCCTAACTCTCCAAACAAACGGGGCTTAAGACCATTGTCATTGTGGCTAGTTTTCTAAGTGATCACAACTAGATTTGAGTTTTATGTGTTGTTCTTTAATTTTGTTGACTTGAAATTTTTTAAAATTTTCCATGAAACGCATTACTTTGTGTTTTATAATAAAAAAAAAGATAAAATATTAATTTACGATAGCATTGTCTTTAAAAAAAAAATAGATAAAACTATATTCAACGTCACCCCCACAACTAGTCTATTCAGTAACTTCTTTATAATTTTTATTTTTTGCATCAAATAAATTTACAAGAATTGTTTGCCAATATGGATTTTCCAGCAGACAATATATATTGAAACACATGGAGGAATTAAGTTCCAACAATTATTTAGTTTACAACATATTATCTGAGAGAGTTGGATGTTCCAGCAAAGATAGAGGAATGCGGGACTTCAACACTGTGAAAGAGCAAATGGATCTAATGGACATGCCCATGCTAGGGAGGAAATTTACCTTGTGCAACTCTCAGGATAGGGCTAATTGGAGTAGAATTGATAGATTCCTAATTCATCATGAATGGATCCAAAACTTTTCTCTTAAACTCTGGGGTCTTCCTAGACAAATGTCAGATCATTGCCCAATTATTTTGATGGAGGATGATAGAGATTGGGGTCCCTGACCATTTAGATTTCTCAAAGCTTGGCTCTTACATCCTAAGTTCATACCTTTTGTGAAACAAAATTGGTCCGAGATGGATGTAGAAGGGTGGGCAGGATATAAATGTCTTATGAAATTCAAAGCTCTGAAACAGGTATTAAAACAATGGAATTTGGAGGTGTTTGGGAGGGTTGAACCTAAGTTAAAAAGTCTTGAGGAAGAAGCTCATGCTTTGGATTTGCTAGCTGAGGAAAGGCCATTGCTTCCCACAGAATCATGTAGAAGTAAGGAAATTAGGGGTGAAACTTGGAGATTGAACAAAATGTTAGAATGGATTTGGCTACAGAAATCTAGACAAAACTGGGCTCTGAAAGGGGACAGAAATACAAAGTTTTTTCACATCATGGCATGTAGCAGAAATAGTAGAAGCACCTTGGGCTCACTATTTGTGAATGGCTCTCGGAGTGAGGAGCCTAGGGAGGTTCAGGCTGCAGTTTTTAATCACTTTTCCAGGCTCTTTTCTGAATCTTGGGGATCCAGACCTAAACTATCTGGCCCCTTTAAGAACATTGGTAGTGCACAAGCTATAGCCTCGTTAGAGGGTGAGTTCACTGAAGAGGAAATTAAACGTGTCATCATGACTTGTGAGGGCAATAAAGCCCCTGGGCCTGACAGTTTTAACATGGCATTCTTTAAGAAATGTTGGAGCATTGTGAAATCCGATGTGGTTAATTTCATAAGTGAGTTTCACCGTAATGCATGTTTTGTTGGAGGAATAAACGGCTCATTCATTGCTTTGATTCCTGTAGACACCCCATTTTTGACCGTCCTCAAGACTTGGACGTCACCGTTTGAACACTCGGTGATTATCCATGTTTGTGTTCGTTTGGAGTTCCCGGAGGTCTCGGCTCACGCGCCTTGCTCAAGATCTCTCGACTCGACCGTTTAGTGTCTTGGTTTTCACAACACACTGTGCATCTTGCCTTGAGAGGCAGGGGGGGCTTGTAGACATCGCCCACCCGATCACCGGCGAGTGGCTAGATGGCCACCGGCGTGCGTTTTGCTGCCACTCGGCAATGATAGTTTGCCGGCCGCACATCTTGTGTGACGGTCCAGCACTATTTTGTGCCGGTCGGCACCTTTGCTTGGCCAAATGGCATTTTTTGCCGGCGATGCTGTCATCTGCTTTTGTAATATTTTAGGACAGCTGTATTATGTTTTGCTCCGCCTCCATACACGTGTTGGAGGGTCTCCTGCTCTGCAAAGCTTTCTTGTTAAGCTTTCAAGAGGCATATAGAGAGGAAACTCTTCTTAAGGAGAGGGAGCTTTAGACATTTTTGAGAGAGGAAAATACAGAGGAGAGCTCTGGTTTTCTAGGGTTAGGGTTAGATTACACTCACCTATCTCTCTTTCCCTCCATTTTGCAACTAGGTGTTTTGTGTCTCACTATTGCACACAAACACCTAGTGTTTCACCTTCCTCTGGAGCTGAGGTTCTAAAGAGTGTGTTTTGAAGTTTTTGTCTTGGATTCAAGCTCAAGGAGCCATTGGAGCATCTTTGTTGAAGAAGGCATCAGGGTGAGAAACTAGTCCTTTTTTCCCCTTTTTTGCATTGATTTTCTACTAGTCTTAGAGCTGTTTTTGTGATTATTTATAACATAAAAAAGTTCGTTTTTAAGCCCTCTTTATTGTTTATTAGAGTGTTTGTTGTTTGAGGGTTGTTGACCACCCTTAGCCTCAAAAGGCCTCATTTGAGCCATTTTGTGCTAGCTCCGGGATTTTGGTGTTGAGGTCTCTTCACCACTGAAATCTTGAGGGGATTTCAGTGGTGAAGATGATGCTTTGAAGTCCCAAGAGGAGAGGGCCACCCCCTTCTTCCTTGTTGTCCTTGAAAAGGGCATATTTTGGCCTCTTAAGGAAGCCTATGCTTGAGTGTTGTGTTGAGCTGTTTGGTTTTTTTTCATGCTTATATATCCATGATATAACATGATTTCAAGTTGGTTTTGGAACTCATGCATGTCTAGCATAGTTGCCATGTAATGCCTTATTTGTGCCTTAACATGTTCTAGGTTGTTAGCCTTTGTTGGAGCATGTTTTAGGCTTTAGTCTTGTGAAGATTATGTGCTTATTTTGCCATGATCTAGGTCTGTTCCATAAGCATTTGGGTGATTTAGCATGCATTATATAGCTCCTTTTGTATTTGGGCTTGTTGGCCTTGAGTATGTGCATGTGTAGCATGCCATCTTTGCATTGTTTGGTGATTTGGATCATTCTATATGTCATTTCAGGTTCCATTTCCATGCTTGTTTGATTGCCTTGCATGCCTCTTTAATGCTTGGAAGCATGTGTTGCAATGCTCCATGTTTTGGCCATGTGTATGCCCTTGTATTTGGGCCATTTAGATGCCATCTTAAGAGTCTTTTGGCTTTGTTTTAACATGCTAAAAAATCTGTTTTTAGTTGTTTAATGCATGCCATGTTTGGTATGATAAGTGTAGTTCAATGCATTATTGATTTGCCTTGAACACTTGGACTACTCTTTGCATGTTTTCTGATTTATAACTTGATTTGGTCATTTTATAACATAAATTTTAGGCTCATGTTGCATGCTAATTAGTCCATGATCCCTCCTTTTCAAGTGTGCTTGAATGTTGTTTGATTATGCTTAAGTGTTGGTCCTTATGTGCATTGTGTGTTGTGCATGCCATTTAGCCCTCACCTTTTAGCACAATGGCTACTGTTTTAGCCTATTTTTAGAGCTGCCTAATTCATGTATAAGTCCATCTTGCCATCCATTTGCATTTGCCCTATGTATGCTTACATGATTGCATAAGTGCATTTGCCATTCATGTTGCATTTCCTCAGCTTGTATGCCTAGGTTGCATTGCATCTTGCATGCATGCTTGTTCCTTGAATTGGTGATTAGGAATAGGGCCTAATTTGTTTGATTGGTTTGCATGCATTGAATCAAAGTTGCATACTTGGTTCCTTGGCCATCATGCATGGAAATCCGCGTGAGTGTGGTCGAGGCACATGTCCCTTTGAGTCATTAACAATGATAAGAACATGGCTACTCCTCTCAAATATGCTGCCATGCCTTGTTTTGCCCTTGTTGCTGTGAGTTGCAGGTTCTGTAGGAATACTCTGCCGACCGGCAGTGTAATGTGCGACCGGCACAATTTTTCTCTGCCGACAGACCCTATTTGTGCCGATGGCCATACTACCACTGCCGGTGGAAGTTCATTCAGCCGTGATGATCCCCTCTGTCCAAGGATGCAGTCCTGAGGCTTTGACAGCCTCCAGAGGAGGAAAGGAAGGAAAACAGAGGCAGCTTGCGCATGGTGCACGCTTCCCGAGGCGTTTTCCTACATTAATTAATTAGTTAATTAGTTAATTAATTATTTGTAATAATTTAATTAGCTTGCGTTAGTTAATTAATTTGTAATATTTTTGCGGTCCCTCGAGCGAGGGCAAATCTGTAATAACTGTTGTGGGTGGTGTGAATGTCTTCCAATCCCACTTCTTTCTTCCCTTTTACTTACCCGCTTTAATGGTTAGTATTAGGGCACGTTCTAATTTAGCAACCTTATGCTATACATGTGTGCATCCATGCATTGTGTATTGCATGCTTTAGGCTCGGTACATTCACGCTAATGCATCAATACTTCAAATTCCAAACTGAATATGTGATAACTGTGCATTTTCACATGACATGTTTAGGGATAGCCGAGCCTATTCTAGCAACATTTGTATGCGATGCATTAGGCACTTCACATGGACTTTGATCATGCATTGTGTGCTAACAAGTTCTTGTTTTGGCACGGAGTACTATGTAAGTATTTCCGCTTTAGCATAGCGATGAGTGTGAATGTTGCCATAACAGCATGCTTAACATGTGGGCTAGATGCTTATGTGTAACTGTTTTGATGCATGTGGGTGAGGTTGGATTGTTTGAGTTGAAAAACTCGTGAAATCCGTATTTTAGCCTACTTGCGATAGCAAATTCCAAAGCATTTTTCGAAATGAACGATATGCATGTTTCTTTTCCAAATTAAGGCATCTGATCTATTACTTGTTGCTGCGTGCGATAACATAGTAATTCTAGGCTAATAAAATGGATAAGAACACATAAGTTTTCAAAAACGGATATCACGGTTAGTAGAGCCGGTCTTCGGACCGGCGAAAGGGGGTGCTCATAGCTGACCTTCCCCGATCGTACCAAGCTCCCGAGCTGAGACAACTCCGGTGATGACGGACGTGTGGCCTTCGGCACCGAGTCAGGGTTTCCTAAATTTCCCCATTTTAAAAATATTTAGGTGGCGACTCTGTATCTGGCAAAGCAGTCCATGTTTGGCACTACTTTTTTCAAAAATCTGTTTCTCAAAACGATTTGCCAGATTTGGACTCTTTGGTTCAGATTAAGAACCGTGACACAAATCGAGAGTCCGAACTGTAGCATCGAGGTCCCCACGCGGGCGCTGTCTACAATTCCCAAATCGGATAGTCCTGCTTCTCTAAATGATTTTAGGCCAATTAGTTTGATTGGCTCTCTCTACAAAATCCTTGCTAAGGTGTTATCTAATAGATTGAAATTGGGTATGCCTAGGATCATTGGTGAGGTTTAGTCAGCTTTTGTGGGTGGCCGAAATATACTTGATGGGGTTCTAATTGCAAATGAGATTGCTGATGAGTGGAGAAAATCGAAAAAAGTAGGCCTTATTCTCAAACTGGACTTCAACAAAGCGTTTGATTCCGTTAATTGGGATTTCTTATTTTCCACACTCTATAATTTTGGGTTTGGTGATAAATGGATCAAATGAATCAAAGCTTGTATGTCTTCTGCGAGGATTTCAGTTCTGGTCAATGGTTCACCAACCTCTGAATTCCACCCACAAAGGGATTTAAGGCAGGGTGATCCCTTGTCACCTTTCATTTTCAATATTGTATCTAAGGCCCTTAACATTCTGTTGTCTAAAGCAAAAGTGTTGGGTTTTTTAAAAGGAGCTCAAGTGGGACTATCTGGATTTTCTATATCCCATTTACAATTTGCGGACGACACTATCCTGTTTTGTGAAGCTACTTGGGAGGAAGTGATGAATATCAAAAGAATTTTAAGATACTTTGAGTTACTCTCGGGTTTAAAAAGTAATTATCATAAGAGTGTAATTAGTGGTATTGGGGTGGACGAGGATATGTTGCATTGCTTTGCTAACAGACCCAATTGCCTGCACCATAAGTTACCCCTTAAGTACTTAGGGTTGCCCCTGGGAGCAAATCCAGGCCGGAAAAGCACCTGGAAACCTGTCCTTGAGAAGCTCAAGTTGAAACTAGCCTTATGGAAGAAGAGACTTCTCTCCTTTGCTGGAAGGTTGGCCTTAATAAAATCTGTTATGTCCAGTTTACCCACTTACTACCTCTCTCTGTTTATAATACCTGCTGGAGTGGCTAAGGAGATAGAGAAATTGCAATCCTCTTTCCTCTGGGGTGGATCTGATTTAAGAAGAAAGGTGGATTTGGTCAAGTGGGATGTGATCACATTAAATAAAAGGTTTGGTGGCTTGGGGGTGAGAAAAATTAATATTATGAATGTTTGCCTTCTACTAAAATGGTGGTGGCGCTTTGGGACTGAGGATCACTCTCTTTGGAAAGCAGTAATTTGTAATAAGTACAACTTAAGGGGTGGCAGCTGGACTCCTAGTTTGGGTGGCAGTGGCTCCAGAATCTGGTCTGATATTTTAACTTTTGTTTTATCAAACTCAGTGCTGCAGAACTTTTATGTTAATAACTCCACTATTGTGTTGGGGGATGGTAAGAGATCTTTATTCTGGTGGGATAAATGGGCATGAAATGTTTGTCCTAAGGAGGCATTCCCAAGGTTATTCACCTTATCCACTGATAAGATGGGTGTGGTTGATGCCTACTATCAGAGAAGAGCTGGTTCTGTTGATTGGAATATCGGTTTTAGAAGAGCTTTATTGGCTTGGGAGGAAGATGAGGTGTATAGGTTATATGATTTTCTTAGAATTGCACCTGTTTCATGCAGTTCCCAACCAGACACACTATCTTGGTCTGCTGGTCCTTCAAGCTTCTTCACTGTGTCCTTAGCTTACAATTGGTGGGAATCTTCTCTTGGGCATGCTCTGAGCTGTACTAATATAATATGGAATAACTGTGCCCCTCCCAAAGCCCAATTTTTTGGATGGTTAGCTTGGCATGGCAAGGTCAAGACTGCCAGCTTTCTCTGCAGAATTGGGGTCCTGGATATAAATGTTAATCAAGCATGTATTTTTTGTCATAACGAAGCTGAATCTGTGAATCATATCCTCTTGTTCTGCCCATTTGTTTGGCTAATTTGGTCAAACATTGTTCGGTGGTGCGGTCTCCAGTGGGTTTTACCTGGCTCTGTGCCTGACTTATTGAACTGGTGGTCTGGCTGCATGATGAAAAATCTAGAAAAGAAAATCTGGTTGACTATCCCTCTTGCTGTCCTCTGGTTCATTTGGAAACTCTGAAATGAATGTGTTTTTAATGGTGCTCAACCTAACCAGGAGGTGTTTTGTGATATTGTTAAGATGAGAATAGCACTGTGGGTCAAGGCCTCAACACCCTCTCTGGTGTTTTCTGTCAGCGACATTGCTTCAAACCTGCAACAGGTCTTATTCTGCCTCAGACATGGTGGCTGATCTGATCTGTTAAGCTGGTGTGGCTGGTCGGTTTTACCCTAGGCTGGTTTGTTGTGCTTGGCCGAGTTCTGTTTTGCTGTATTGGGTTTTTGTGTTGGTCTGTACTGCTGCAGTAGCTGATCTAGTCTGGTATTTTGCTTTGGTTTGCTTCAGTGGCTGATCTAGTCTGCTTCTGCTGTTGTATTTTGTTCTTGTTGATGACTGTTTTTAGTCTGCACTGGTGCACTTATGTTTGGGGGGGGTGATTCTGCACTATGCTCTGCTGATGGTCTGGTTGTTGATATTCTATCTGTTGGTTGCTATATTTGGTGTGCTGATCTTGTCTGGTATTTTGCTTTGGTTCTGGTTGATGACTGTTTTGAGTCTACTCTGTTGCACTTATGTTTGGGGGGGGGTGATTCTGTACTATGCTATGCTGATGGTCTATCTGTTGATGTCCTATCTGTTGGTTATGCAGCAGCATCTGTAGTGCTGTAGTGGGTGTTAGTTTGGTCTGGGGTTTTTTGGATTGTTTGATGGGGCTTTTGAATTGTTGCAGTAGCTTTTGTATTGTTGTAATGGTTTTGTAGCAGCAGCTCTGCTGCTTTTTGTTTTCTTTTCTGCTTTTTCGGTTGGTTGCTCACCAACCTTGGGGGCGTTAGCAAATGATAGGATGGGTTTTTTTGTGCTAACCTAGTTGGGATGATTGAGCCCATTGTGATGCTTTTGCACTCGCCTTTCTTTATTGATGCATTTTATCTTGTACTTTGTACTATACTTTCATCAATAAAGCTTCTTTGTTTTGCCGATCAAAAAAAAGAGAGAGATGAAATTTTCCAAAACATAAAAAAAGAAAACAAACAAGAAAGTATCTATATTTCTTGAAACTCCAACAAACACCAAACGGTTCATCAATTTCCACCACCACCACCCCTGCCACCACAACCCCCACCCCCACCACCACAACCACCACTCCCACTCACAGCAGCAACGTCACTGCCATAGACATTTGGTTTGTGATCAGACAAACCACAAGCAAAGATGATCACTGATATGATCGACGCCAACATAACAACCATGCAGAGAAAGAAGGTAGTAGCTTCATCTGTTGCAGTACCACCACCACCGCCGCCGCCACCACCCACAATATCAAGGAATTTATTTATTTTTTAATAGTCATAAATGGAATTTATTTATTTTTTAATAGTGTCACAATTTCATTTTCATGTTCACACAAACCTGCATTCTTTTACTTTATATAATAGTATAGATATAAAGAGCAATATAGACTAGGAAGCAAAACTCAATATAGAAAGGTGAAAAAAAGAAACATACCTGACATGATGAAATGGCATACTTACACTTATGGTATAAGACTAGTGTTGACAAGAGAAGTGAATGTATGTTGCATTTTCTTTATGTATCATTGACTTTCACTACTTACCCCTAAATCGAATATGAACACTATCAACTATATACAACCATCTTTGTTCTGGCCAAAAAACCGACCGCTGGCTGCCTTAACAAAAAATTGCATTGACAGTGCCTTCGTAGAAGTCGGATTAACAAAAGGCGTGGATCTATTTCTAAAACTATATAGTGAAATACCAGAGGTCCTCAATTCTGTTAGCTTTTGATAAAACTCTCTCTAGAATGAACTATTATTCTGTATAGAATTTAACTTATATTGATCTTGAATTTTTTCTCTTATATATTCTACGCTTTGCCCATAAGCGTACATCCTTTTATATAAAGAAAGTTATACATATGTTCAATGAACAACTTTACAACTAACTAGGTACATGAATGTAATCTAGACAATGAACCTAATAATTATAAAACACATGAATATAAAAATACATGAATACAAAGAATGCATGAACCCAATGTATCCAATGTAGCTAATGTAAATATGGCATTAATTTTAACACTCTCCCTTAATGCCATATTGTGTGACACCCAATAATTCTCTAAAAAAATTCAAACTTGTCCCTTGGTAGAGCTTTGGTGAAGATGTCCACAACTTGATCTTCAGTCTTCCAATACTTGATTTGAATCTCATCATCTTCCATAACTTCTCTAATGAAATGACGTTTGATAGCAATGTGTTTGGTACGAGAATGATAGACGGGATTCTTTGTCATAGCAATAGTAGACTTGTTATCACACATAATTGGAGTAGCTTCACATTGCTTCTCACCAAAATCATCCAAAATTCTTCTTAGCTAAATTGCTTATGTAGTTGCCAATGATGCTGAAATATATTTGGCCTTAGCGGATGATTGTGCCACAGTTTGTTGTTTCTTGGATGACCATGAAATTACGCTTGATCCAAGAGAAAATGCATCCAGAAGTGCTTCTTATATCCTCAACACATCCGGCCCAATCACTATCACAAAATCCACGTAACTTTGCATCAACAAATTTCTTATAAAAAACTCCATAATCAAGTGTACCTTGAATGTATCTCAACACTCTTTTTGCAACCCCAAAATGAATTTGGCGTGGACTGTGCATAAATCGTGACAATAAACTTATAGCATACATGATGTTCGGTCTTGTAGCAGTCAAGTACAACAAACTTCTAACCAAACTTCTATAACAAGATGCTTCAGCTTCTTTGCTTCTATCTTATTTTGAAAACTTTTCATTCACAATCAAGGGAGTAGCAATTGATTTGCAATTCTTCATTTTGAATTTCTCAAGAAGTGTTTGAGCAGACTTCTTTTGGCAAATAAAAACACCACCATTGTTTTGGTAGATTTCAATGCTTAAAAAATGATGCAATTGCCCAAATTCACTCATTTCATATTTCTTCATCATTTCCCTTTTAAAATCTTCAACCACTTTTTCATCATTATCGGTAAAAACCAAATCATCAACATAAAGTGAAACAACGAGAATACCGGTTGTACCTTGCCTCTTGATGTACAAAGTTGGCTCACTTTTGCTTCTTTGAAAACCCTTTTTATTGAAGTAAGTATCAATTTCACTATACCATGCCCCAGGTGCTTGCTTTAGGCCATATAAAGCCTTCTTCAACTTGTACACTTTATCTTCTTTACTTTTGACAACAAAGCCTTGAGGTTGATCAACATACACCTCTTCTTATAATTTTCCATTCAAAAATGCTAATTTTACATCAAGTTGGTGCAAGAACCAACCCTTTTGAGCTGCCAAAGCAATGATAGCTCTAATTGTTTCAAGTCGAGCCACAGGAGCAAAAGTTTCTTGGAAATCAATTCTGGGTTGTTGTGAATACCCTTTCGCCACAAATCTTGCTTTGTTATTTTGAATAGAGCCATTTGGATTGAACTTTGTTTTGAAAATCCCCTTCATACCAATTATTTCTTTTCCTTTCAGTTTCTCAACTAGCTCCCAAGTCTTGTTCTTCTCAATCACATGAATTTCATTTTCCATTGTGTTCTTCCATGCTTCATCTTTAATTGCCTCTTCAAAATTTTCAGGTTTAACAAAGCATAAATTGTACCTTGCATACACATCACTAAGACTCCTTATATTTATTGGAGTTGAACTTGAAGATGAAGAACTTGAACTTGAACTTGGAGAAAATTGTGAACTAGCAATTGGTGACAATCTTTGTGCAGATCCAAGCGTTGCAACATCTTCAACTTGTGGACTTTTTGATTCTTCATTGAAAGCAATGCTTTGATCTTGGACTTTCTTTTCCTTTGAATAAAAAGATGCCTTCTCATCAAAGAGAACATCTCTATAAATAATCACCTTCTTTTGATCCAAACTGAAGAGTCTATAACCATTGGATTTCGAGCTATAACCCACACAGATGCATTTCTTACTATTTTCATCAAGCTTGTGCCTCACTTCTTTTGGAACATGAGCATAATAAATGTAACCAAACACCTTCAAGTGATTCATGAATGGTTTCCTTCCACTCCAAGCTTCAAATGGAGTTGTCCTTAAGAGCTTTTGTAGGACATCTATTCATCAAGTAAACTGCTGTATACACGGCCTCACCCTAAAAAGTTTTGGGTAGCCCTTCTCATGTAGCATAGACTTGGACATCTTCTCTATAGTTCTATTCTTCCTTTCCGCTACACCAATTTTTTTGTGGAGTGTACCCAATGGTCAATTGCCCTTCCATACCAATATCTTCACAAAATTTCATAAACTCATTTGAGTTGTATTCTCTGCCTCAATCACTT